AGGTCCGACTGAGTACTGACAGAAACATCAACATGCTACATGACTGAACGTACTGAAGGAGAACCAGAAATACTGACGGCAGTACCGACGCCGCGCCGCAGTACTCCCCCCCGATAGTACAACACTGTGCACAGCAGCACTCACAGAGGTCACTGGTCCGACAACATACTGGATCTGTAAGACGACCACTCTCACATTACAAACAGAAGACATTTAAAAGGCTTTTCTGTGGCTGCTGCTTCACAGGCCACGCCCCCCCCCCTCCCTTTAATAACCACGGCGGGGGGCGGGGGGGCGTGGCTTCAGCTTCAACCTCCTCCGGTTGGTCTCAACCTCAGCCGTGCTACCGTTAAAAACAAACACTGAGATTGTAGTTCGGCTTCTTTTAACTGGTGAGAATATCCGCGCCCGTGCACGGATACGGAGGCCCGGCGGTGGCGTTTCTTTACGGTCACGTTTTGGCCTCCGTACCTGGATAGTTTCATATATTCCCATCAGTTAAAAGGAAGTTTGAACCACTGACGGATAATTCAGTGTTTCCCTCTCAGATGTGTTGTGTTAATAACATTAATAATCAGTTAATAATACGGAAACAACACCTGCTCAGTAAATATAACCCACTCCCCCCCCCCACTCCCTCTGGCCAACACAAGGTCATCACAGAAACTGGCCTGGTTCACTGTTGTTATGCAGCTCACACACACACACACACACACACACACACACACACACACACACACACACACACACACACATTTAAGGACCAGTGTGAGTCTGCTGTCTAAAGGCAACATGTCCGCCCTGAGCAGCAGATCTGGAGTCAGCTCGCCGCGCTACAGCGACCCCCAAATGTTCATATTTTAAAAACTCGACATTGTTGACAAACAGGTTGTTTCCTCAGCCGACAGCCGAGAGCTGGAAGTACAACATTTGGAAATTGGAATTTGGAAAATTAGGACTCTCTCCGAATATTCACTCCCGCTTAAGTTAGCTCAAAGCTACCGGCGTGGTGAGCTGACCACATGACCTGCTGCACCCCCCCCCCCCCGTGTCCCCCCACCCCCCCGTGCCCGCCCCCCCACCCCCCCCCAAAAAAATCAAAATCAAAAACATTAAATGACTTTTATATCTTTTCACACAGAAACATAATAATAACCACTGTATGGATCCACAGGTTCGACCAGAGCCGCACGCACAGGGGTCGGCCATGTTAGCCGTGACATCACCGGGGTAACCGTGGCAACAACATGGCTGACAGCGAAAGTGGTCAAGCTGCGTGCGAAGGGCTCGGGACCGCTGGAAGATAAGGAAAATGTAAAGAAAGGAAACAAACATTTAAAAATTCAAAGCAAGAAGCCACTCCCCCAGCGCAAAATGGCCTAGCAGAGAGCATGATGGGAACTGTAGTTTAAATTTGGGCAGTTGTTTGGACAGCCCCCACTCCTGCAACCGCAGAATCATCTTCATCATCATCATCATCATCATCGTCGTCGCCGCTGCAGTCTTTTTGATGTTTGTTTTTATTTTTTTTATGTTTCCAAGGCAACAGTCTCCGTCAGACAGTGTGGTGAAGGGGGCATGGGAGATGTGGTCGTCACGGGAACAGAGGTCAGAGGTGGCTGATGTTGATGATGACACGTTTGTGTTAAAGGGGCGTGGCCAGCTGGAAGATGTGGTGTGATTGGTTGGTTGGTTGGTTTGTCGGTCAGGTGAGCAGAAAACTGGAGAGCGAGAGGAAGGAGGGGAAACGTTAGTGTGTGTGTGTGTGTGTGTGTGTGTGTGTGTGTGTGTGTGTGTGTGTGTGTGTGTGTGTGTGTGTGTGTGTATTAAAGGGCTACCTGTCATTAGAGAAGTTGACAGTTGGACTTTTTGCGAGTTTTCCCCGGAGCTGGACTCTTCCTGTTAATCTGTCGCACAAGGTCGTAGAAGATCTGCGCACACACACAGTAACACACACACACACACACACACACACACACACACACACACACACACACACACACACACAGTATTTTGGGATAAAAGTAATAAAGTTAATGTCAGATTTTACACATTAGAGGGACATTTGTTACGACAACGGACAGAAACAGAATAAAAACCAGCAGCCACATTGAAAGTGATGTAATGTGTAACACTGCAGCGTAATCAATCAAGAGCTGCATTCAATGTATTTTCAGGGAATTCACGATTAATTAATTAATCTCCTGGCGTGTGAACATCTTGGTCCTCTGCAGAGTCTACGTACAAGTTGTAAAGTAACGTTACGTAGAAAGTAAAGAGAAGAGGACGGCTTGCATTCAAACTCTACAGTAAGGAGACGCCACCGCAGTAACGGTCAGTGGTTTACTTCCGGTACTTCCCATAACGTTCACTTTAACCGCCGTAGGAAGAGAGTCGTCGCCTCTACGTCAAGGTTCAAAGTGAAGAAGTTCAAGTTTTCATGAGTGATGGTAAAATGGAGATTTGAATTGTGGATCTTTGGGTCGATACCTGATGACATAACTCCGAAGAAGGACATCCTCCTCTTCAAGTTGGTCTCATAAGAACGGACCAGAAGGTTGTAAACAGACTCTTTTATTTATTTATTCATTATTATTATTAACTAATGTTTGTGTAGTGCTTACAGGACTTTTATTGTGAAGAATTTATAGGAAATTAAATGTGTTTAACAGCGAATTAGCAGAGCGGAGTTAGCGCCTGACATCAGAACCGGACCTCCAACCAGCAGCTGGGTCCTGGGTCGGGTCTGGGTTTCCAGGACTCACCTCTAATGTACGTGTGTGTGTGTGTGTGTGTGTGTGTGTGTGGTCACCTCGTTGACGTTGATCTTGCTCTTGGCCGAGGTCTCCAGGAAGGCGCAGGAGTTCCACTGGCGGGCGAGGCCGATACCCGACTCTTTGGCCACCACGCGCTCCACATCCAGGTCGCACTTATTTCCAACCAGGATCATCGGAACCTGCAACGCCACAACTCAACGTCACGACTCAACGCCATGTTCTAGCGGCAAGTTTGAGAATGTCAGTCGGCCGTTTAACGGTGTCGAGCTTTCAGAAACACACAGAGAAATCCTGAATCCTAATATTTAATAGCGGAGCAGATAAGTGCAGTACCGAGTTTTGGCCAGCAGGCGTCTCCATTTACAGCATATCAATTAATACATTTTCAGCTCAATTGCTTCAAATGTGGTTTGGAAAGCTTCATTTCCATCATCATGGTCTTAAACTGTCTGTCAATTAATTAAATAGCTGATTGAAAGAAAACAAGAAAACGTTTATGAAGCAAAAGTGACAAAAATTCTCCGTTTCCAGATTGTGAAATGTGAGAATTCACTGTTTCTCTATTTGTTTTACCATCATAAGTTAGATATATTTGTACTAATCAGCATTTTTAATCTGTTTTTATTCTGATTCAGCAAAAACATAACAAAGAAAATCTGATTTTTAGCTTTATTGTTGTGTTTTATAGCTAATAGCTTTATGAGGTTAGACACACTGCAGTGGAACATACACAGTGAAGTCCTTTAACTTTAATCCAGCAGGGGGCAGCAGGAAGCTCTCAGTTAGGATCTATTCTCACTTTATTCACCTCATAAAGGGTTTTACTCTTATAAAGGTTTATTAAAACAGTTTCAGAGGTGTTGATTCAGCTGTGTGGTCACCAGACGCAGCCCGTCAAAGAGAAACATCCTGATATTAACAGTGACTTATGAGACTAGTCGTCTATATTTAACTCACCTTTCACTCAGCGTCTGCTGCTTTAAGGATCATTTTACAGTCAATACTTTAAATAACGATGGTTTAAGTAAATAAATAAACATAATATTGTTTCCCATGAGCCCCTGACGTCTGTGAGTTGTAATGGTTATTGATAAAAAAACAAGTTACGAGGCTAGACAGGACGAGATGTCACGGCGTGTGTGTGTGTGTGTGTGTGTGTGTGTGTGTGTGTGTGTGTGTGTGTGTCGTACGTCCTCGGTGTCCTTCACTCTGAGGATCTGCTCTCGGAGGTCCTGGAGGTCGTTGAAGGTGGACTGAGCCGTGATGGAGTAAACCAGAGCGAAGCCCTGACCGTTCTTCATGTACAGGTCTCGCATCGCCGTGAACTGCTCCTGCAGACAGACAGACACAGACAGAGAGACAGACAGGTGGTCAGGGAGACAAAGGGCGGGTGTGGACAAAAGTATGTGGACACTCTTGTAGACTTTAGTGTCTTTTATTGCTGGTTTAGGCAAAAGGAAGTCTGAGGAGATGAACTGAAAGAAGGGTAGGGAGGGTGAGACAGGCAGACAGACAGACAGACAGACAGACAGATCTTACTGTTCCTGCTGTGTCCAGGATCTCCAACATACACTGTTGTCCATCGACCTCGACTTGCTGGAGGGAGAGAGAGAGAGAGAGAGAGAGAGAGACTTCAGTGCTTCAAACAAAATATTTGCCAGGATTTCACAATAAAAGTCTTCAGAAACTTAAAGACTTAAAGACAAATGTTCAAAAGAATCTAAACTGACTCCAACTGAAAGAGTGGAGACAGACATTCACGTTGCCTCAGGATAAATAGTACGAACTTTTCCCACTAGGGGTCGCCAAAGCTTCACAGGGGGGGGGGGGGCTCTTGATTTTATGGGACATGAGAAAACTTTAAAAATATACACAGAGCTAACAGAACAATGACTAATGTCAGAGAGAAGAAAACACTGAATATGTCCCCAAAAACAGCCTATTGTGTATGTACATAATGTGTGTTTGATTGATTAGAAAGAAAAATACATAATACAGACAGAGAACTGGATAAAAAATGTCTTAAAGTATCAGGAAAACTCATTTCTGATGAAATAATGTAACAAAATTCATCCAAATCGCCTGTTTGACATAAACGTCCTGCAGTTATCGAGTTCAATATTCAGTACAAACTGGTACAAACTCCAGCCACCATAATGCATCCATTTCTTTTATTTTAATCTGTAAACTGACATTCGCAGCAGCACTAGCAGAGAGCAGGCTAGTTACCTAGCTACAGGGTTTCTGCAGGTTTCAACTGGTTAAATTTAAACATCCGCTCCACTCACGTTTTAAGACATTTATGATGTTATGATCGGTGATATAAATTCCACATTAAAATCCTTGGAAATGTAAATAGGAACAAGAACAAACACTGATTTCTGACTTTAAGATCTATTTTATGTCCATACTGGGAAAAAAAGTGAAAGGATATGAAGGAAAATCTGAGATTTTGATATAAATATTTCCCCCAAAACACATTTAAACAAGCGAGAATGAAAAATGCAACTTTAACTAACTAACATTCATGAATCCAATCAATTTTAAAACCTGTCAGAATCTTATTTTAGACTAAATTTAAGGCCTAAAATTCAGATTACTGGATTTTAGACATATAAAACAAATAAATCTCTAGTGTTTCTTTCTACATTAGTTGGTAACAGACTGAAGCACGTGGCAGATTACACATGGAGCTCTGTTGTGTTTGCTAATCCAGCCTCGATGGTTCCATATTAGTGTACAGATGGTTAGATTACTGGGTGTACGTCTGCAAACGCCGTCCACGGTGTTAAACCACATTATCGTCTGCAGTGTGCCTCAGACGGGTGGTGTTAGTGAGGCAGCGACGTGTGGCCACTGCAGGCGGGTGGAGAGAAGAGAAGGGAAGCTGAAGGGAGTGGATGTGTCAGTAACAGGCGTTCACAGGAGATACACAAAATGCCTTCATGGTTTCTGTTTTTCATCTTCTTATCTCATTATTTAAACTTCTTATTTCATTATTTTAACTTCTTATCTCATTATTTTAACTTCTTATTTCATTATTTTAACTTCTTATTTCATTATTTTAACTTCTTATTTCATTATTTTAACTTTTTATCTCATTATTTTAACTTCTTATCTCATTATTTTAACTTCTTATTTCATTATTTTAACTTCTTATTTCATTATTTTAACTTCTTATTTCATTATTTTAACTTTTTATTTCATTATTTTAACTTCTTATCTCATTATTTAAACTTCTTATTTCATTATTTTAACTTCTTATCTCATTATTTTAACTTCTTATTTCATTATTTTAATTTTTTCTTTAACTTCTTATCTCATTTTAACTTTTTTAACTTCTCATTTCATTATTTTAACTTCTTATTTCATTATTTTAACTTTTTATTTATTTTTTAACTTTTTATCTCATTATTTTAACTTCTTATTTCATTATTTTAAATGTTTATCTCATTATTTTAACTTCTTTTATTTCATTATTTTAACTTTTTTTTTTATCTCATTATTTTAACTTCTTATTTCATTATTTTAACTTTTTATCTCATTATTTTAACTTCTTATTTCATTATTTAAATGTTTATCTCATTATTTTAACTTCTTATTTCATTATTTTAACTTTTTATTTCATTATTTTAACTTCTTATTTCATTATTTTAACTTTTTATCTCATTATTTTAACTTCTTATTTCATTATTTTAACTTTTTATCTCATTATTTAGATTTATTATCTCATAATTTTAACATTTTATCTCATTATTTTAACTTTTTATCTCATAATTGTAACTTTTTATATCATAATTTTAACTTCAGTCACAGTTTGGTTTTATTCATTCTTCTTCTCCTCCTCAATCCCCGTCTTCTCTCTCTCCTCCTCCTCTGTAGGACGGTTAGCAGCTAGCATTAGCATCCCGTCCCATCACCCACGCTCACACAGACCGACATGTTACGGCGAGGAGAGACAGACGGGCTGAAGCTGTCTTACCTTCCTGTAGGAATCCTCTATCGTCGGGTCGTACTTCTCCACAAAGATTCCCTGAACAAACTGGACAGTCTGGAGACAGACAGACAGGCAGAGAGAGAGAGAGACAGGCAGAGAGAGAGAGACAGGCAGTGAGAGAGAGACAGGCAGTGAGATAAAGAGAAGTAGGGCAGTAGTGTTAATGGAGCTCTGTTCTGTTCTCTATTGGAAGTCATTAGAATGGAATTAATGTGACACACTGACACATCTCCATTATATCATCTGGAGTAAAGCACTTCATTGTAGTGAGACCAACACCAGTGTGTGTGTGTGTGTGTGTGTGTGTGTGTGTGTGTGTGTGTGTGTGTGTGTGTGTGTGTGTCTGTGTGTGTGTGAAAAAGTGACATCAGTCTACATTTTGTTTTCTGGGGGAAAATTTATAACCTTGCAAAACAAAAAAACTCAACATTTTCATCTTCATCGGGCGACTTTGGGCTCTTCTTACTCGTTCAGCTTTGAATCTTTAAACACATTTTATACATCGAAGCGAAGACAAACTCGTCCTCTGCAACCGAGTGTGACTCTCGTTGCGACAGCGCTTACGGTTTTTTAATTAAACGCCTCAAACTGTGGCAAACGCCGACCAAATGTCAGGGAACTGCTTTGAGTCTTATTTTGAAAAATAACTTGAAACAAACACAAAGTAGTGATGCAAACACTTCTGATTTGTGTTTGTGTTCATTAAAAAAAGCTGTTTTAGTGGAATTAAACATACATTTAAAGAAAGAAGAGAAAATGTAACCTTTACTTTAACAGAACCATTAATGTCTGTTTTCGCTTATTGTCAGTGAATGTCCGGTTGAATCGTCTGTTTTACTCAGGAAGGTTCGTAACTGAGTGAAGAAGAAGAAGATGAAGTATTTCAGTGGCAGCCACGATAAGAGCTGTTTCTCTAAATGTGGAGGAAATGTGCATCTGTGTTTCCTTTCTTATCTCCTCTGAGCTGCAGATGAACGATCCTTCCTTAAGTCCTTTTCCACAATTTCTTTATATAATTGAACATACACTCCAATTCTAGCCGACATTCTCTCTGTATGGTAATCACAGTTTACCACAAGCTTTTATTTGCATTATATACCTGGAAAAAACCCACACAGTGCACGGATAATCCACCAGGGATCAGTCGCTCATGCACCAGAGGGCCTTCAATAGAGACATCCAAAATTGCTGCCGTCAATCAGTGACCCATAAAGTTTTGATAAAGTTAAAGTAAGAAAAACATAATTAATTTAAATCTTTGCCTTAACGAGGACAGAAACTATTTCCAGGCTGACCACAGTGCAAAATAAAGAGGTTGTGAACCAGAAAATGAAGCAAACTAAGAGAAAGGTTCCTCTTCCTCTTCCACTGGTCGTCACTGCCGATGGCTTCATTCAGCAAACAGAATATTTACGACGATGTTGAGCAATATGGAAAAAATGCTCATTTGTATGTTTGAAATTACTTCAAAATTATAAAGGAAACTCAAAGTTTAATGGGTTAAAAATGTTGTTTTATATGTTGTTGTTTGTTTAAGATAAACAAAATATACCAGATATAGCTACAATGACACAAATTAAAACTCGTATATGCAAATTGATGTTTAATTTCTTTCTTTATAAATTGTCAGAAGGTTCAATAGTTGGTTAAACATTTGTCAAATTGGTTTAAAAAAGAGGCCTATAAAGTATTTATCGTTAAAAAAAAACCATAATACAGACAGAGGATTGTTATAAAACTCATCTCTGATCAATATTCAGAGGAAATAATCCTCCAAATCTCTGGTTTTACTGCAGTTATTGTTATAGTATATAGAGTTATAGTTATTGTTCAGTATTTGGGTTCATTGTATTTGTACAGTGTGTGTGTTTATGGTAACACACACACACACACACACACACACACACACACACACACACACACACACACACACTGTACTTTCATACAAACACAGAAACAGTAACTCACCAGAGCTGACTTGCCGACTCCTCCTGATCCTAAAACAACCAGTTTGTATTCACGCATCCTGACTGTCTGTCTGCTGGGCGAGAGACACAGACAGACACAGAGAGACAGACAGAGAGACAGACAGAGAGAGAGAGAGGGGTTACCATCACTTTTGGACATCATTTCCCAGCAGCCAATCACACAGCAGCATTACTGTAAGAGCCACCTGCTGCTACAAAGCTGTAAAACTATCAATTACACACACACACACACACACACACACACACACACACACACACACACACACACACGCTGTATGCAGATGACGATTTCCTCCCTCTCACTGGGAGGTAATAATTACCCAGCATGCATCTGGGCGCGTTTGTGAAAACAGATCAAGATCACGTGATCGCACAGCTGGTGGTGATGTCACAGCTATGGAATCCTTCCTGGTTACTGTCGCTACGCAGCCTTGTGTGTCCGTGTGTGTGTGTGTGTGTGTGTGTGTGTGTGTGTATGCATACCAGTCGTGCCTCGCCGTGTCGTTGCAGCAACAAGAAGCAACATGATACAGACAACACACACACACACACACACACACACACACACACACACACACACACACAGAGCTTCTCATCTCTGTTAATAAGGGTCTGTAAGGTTACCATGGTGACGAGATAAGTGTGCGTGAGTGAGTGTGTGTGTGTGTGGTTAGGCAGGTGGTGTGAGGACCAAACATTAACATCTCTTTGTAACTGCCATTTTTTTCAGTGTGTTATTTTACCCAGAATCCCCAGTTTCTGGCCAATTAGGTTGGCAGCAAACACCAAAACAGAGATGACATCAGAGCGAGCTGATGACTTCTCACTAACACTAGTTTACAAAACAAAATGTCCAAAGAATCACCAAAAAAAACGTGAAAATGAAATCCGATATTTGACATGGGGAAGCTGGAATTCTGAATTAACATTGTTTTAACATCTGGATTCTTATATTTCATACGAAATATCTGAAAATGAAATGTGCTAATATCAGGTGAATTTATCGCATGTAAAACGTCAAAAAAACATCTGATTACGCAAGATTTTTTAAAATCTGAAATGGTTTTCCACATGTGCTAAAGACATTTAAAAAATAGAAAAGATCAAATATACATACAGTATATATAAATACATATGTACATATATATGCAAAATAAACACATTAGAACACATTAGAAGTATTTTGGGTCGTCATCTGTGCCGAATGTATTCTTGAAATCGAATCATTTCAGATCACTGGCAGATGTTTCGGCTCCTTTTACATAGTATAACAGAAGCTCCAACCTGTACAGATGTCTTCACTTAGCAACCACCCAGCAACACCCTAACAACCACTCTGAACGTTCTACAACTACATAGCAACACCCTAACAACCACTCTGAACGTTCTAGACCTACATAGCAACACCCTAACAACCACTCTCTGAACATTCTAGACCTACATAGCAACACCCTAACAACCACTCTGACGTTCTAGAACTACATAGCAACACCCTAACAACCACTCAGACAACTACATAGCAACACCCTAACAACCACTCTCTGAACATTCTAGACCTACATAGCAACACCCTAACAACCACTCTGAACGTTCTAGAACTACATAGCAACACCCTAACAACCACTCTCTGAACGTTCTAGACCTACATAGCAACACCCTAACAACCACTCTCTGAACATTCTAGAACTACATAGCAACACCCTAACAACCACTCTGAACGTTCTAGAACTACATAGCAACACCCTAACAACCACTCTGAACGTTCTAGAACTACATAGCAACACCCTAACAACCACTCCGAATGTTCTAGAATTACATAGCAACACCCTAACAACCACTCTTTGAACGTTCTAGACCTACATAGCAACACCCTAACAACCACTCTCTGAACATTCTAGAACTACATAGCAACACCCTAACAACCACTCTGAACGTTCTAGAACTACATAGCAACACCCTAACAACCACTCGGAACGTTCTAGAACTACATAGCAACACCCTAACAACCACTCCGAATGTTCTAGAATTACATAGCAACACCCTAACAACCACTCTCTGAACTTTCTAGAACTACATAGCAACACCCTAACAACCACTCGGAACGTTCTAGAACTACATAGCAACACCCTAACAACCACTCGGAACGTTCTAGAACTAGCAGACACCTAGCAACACACTAGCAGATACGTAGCAACTCCGGCGGCACGATATGGTAAAAAAATCATACTGCGACTGATATGACTCACCATTAGTGGGAATGATCTTTTTCTTTTAAACAATTTTAACTTCTACCGAAAAACCTGTTCAAATTGTGATGATGATGATGATGATGATTCCTGATTTGTAGGGAATCTCTGCAGCAGCTTCATCGTAATGCTGACACATTTACCCTTCAGTAGGATATTTCACTTACTATTGTGATGAACTGTGCAGCTCTACTAACAACGCCCCTGCAGAAACATGGAAACGCCCCAGCAGACAAACGATAGCATCTTCTAATCGTATCAGTAACACTATAACAACCCTCCATCCGCACTGGATTTATGTAATGCCATTTTCTAGTTTAGTACTGAATCTGGAATTTTACTGAACAGGACCAATAAAGCTGGTTGTAATCAGCCATTTTCACTGCAATGTGTTCCACAGTGTAACATCACCCTCTGTGTTAATTCATTCATCTCTAATTGACTATTAATACTGATGCTGAGGATGGACGAGGAGGACACAGAGTTTTATCTGGAGTTTTAGTCATCCAGTTGTAAGTGAATGCATCACCAGAGGTGGATTTCAGTGCCTGGAGGTCTGAACAGGACCTTGATGCAACAAGTCCGGGCGAGTTCAGTGAGTCTGAGGAAATCACAAACTGGGAAGTGAATCTAGATGAGCTAAAACATCAAACTCTGGCCTTTCTTATGACTCCTCCTCCACCTCGGCCCCGCACCTCGGCCCCCCACCTCGGCCCCCCACCTCGGCCCACCACCTCGGCCCCCCACCCGACGGTCCCTGGAGCTGGACGTTTCAGATTTTGACACAGTTAAAGTAAAACAATGACATTTAAATCTGCATTAGTTGGGTTTTTTTGGCCACTGGGGGGCAGCAGAGACACACAGCCCTGACATATCATCACCTTATAAAGCTGTTATGGCTAATGTGTTAGCATTGATATCCTACTTCCACAGCCAGCAGGCACAGAGCAACATGAGCCAAACTCTGTGGTTGTGACTCAGTGAGCGACACTTTCACATTACGTCCACTATCACTGGAGGAAATACGTCTCATTACAGGAACAAAAACACTCGTTATCTTCACTCACTTCAGATAACAGATGGTGTGTATGAAGACACCTTGAATTCGCCGACTCGCTCTACATTTATGGATATCAGTCAGAGGTGTCAACTGTGCACTCGAGTCAAAAGTCTAAAGCTATAAAGCTGTAAAACTAAACACCGATTCCTGCCGGTAACGCTGACCCACACACTCATCTCATAACACCGGGATGAATTACAAAATAAAATACCTGCAGAATGACTCTTCTGACGATCAATTCATGGTTTCAGTCATTTGTGAAGCTAAAATGTCGGCATTTGTTTCTTTTGTTTGTCACATATGATAATAAATTATATCGTTTTTAACTGTTGGCCGGACAAATCAAGACCTCTGATGGTGTCACATCTCGGGCCTTTTTTAGTTTTACAGACTAAAGTAATAATTTAATTAAGAAAATAATCAGCAGATTAGTCTGTAATGACAATAATCTGTATTTACAACCATCATACTTTAAATATTTACTCTAGAAAATGTTTCAACCTGCCGAATAATCAAATCTCTGACTGCAGCCTCTGAATGTGCTCACAGCAGGAGGGCTGCTACTAAGGATTCATTTCACCATCGATTCATCTGCTGATTAATTTCTCAATTAATCGATGAATCATTGTGTGTACACTAAAATCATCACATGCACTCAGACTGTCTAACAGTCCAAAACCTACAAATATTAAGTTTACTATGTAAATATGAGAATATTTACATTTAAGCTGATAAAATATATTCATAATACAGTAAAACAACATTATTTATGTTTATTTTGTCCTCTTAACAAACTGCACAACCTAAACCTCGTCAGGCTGATACTAATATGATATAGACATTAAATATTTGATATTATATTTTATATCAATCTGAGAGGCCACAAGCTGATTAACAGGACGAAAAACTGAATTATAAAACAAAGTTATGTTTTTTTTTCCAGAAAGATCAGGCCACAAAATTATTACAATAAATCAGAAAGACACAAAAATCTGTCAGTTTATCTGCCGACTGAGAAAATAATGAAAAACGCCCCTTATAATTTCCCAGAATGCAAGCTGGCGTGCATGTTTTATCTGACCAACGCTCCAAAACCCTAAAAATATTCAGTTTACAATCACATACGACAAAGAAAATCAGCAACTTGTCGAGTTGAGAAGCTGGAACCAAAGAATATTTGTAATTTTTGCTTTAAAAACAATTAATTTTCTCCTAATCAGCTAATAAACTCATCATTTGAGGCCTCGCTGCGAGCAGACGTAGCTTCCTTTAAAGAAATCACAACATAATAAGGATGGAAACCCCACTATTGGTGCATTTAGACAAATAAATTAGAGAAGTAAGTCGTAATGTTGACAATCAATCAGTTATTCAGGCTTCACATCGTTCTTCTAGACTTTTAATAATCAGATTAGACTAATGTGGCCTTTTTAAAACCATTAAGACGATATTTAAACACACTTCAACATCAATATATTGATTTATCGCCTCGCTCTCACAGACTCTATTTGAACTCTGTGCACAAAGTGTGCAGTTCTGCTTTTTCCAGCAGGCACCGAATGCAGCATGATGTTAATCTACTAAAGTAAAGTTGGTGGAGGAGAAAGATGGACACACACACACACACACACACACACACACACACACACACACACACACACACACACACACAGAGAGAGAGAGAGATCCCTGAGTCAAGCAGAACTAGGTGGGGCCTGTCAATACTCAGTGTGTGTGTGTGTGTGTGTGTGTGTGTTTGTTGCTGACAGTACAACAGCAGAGGAATAAAACCAAGCCTTGTCTATACACTATAGTCAGACAGACAGGTAGACAGACAGACAGGTTCCTCCAAACTCCCCAACTCCGCAGTTTGTAATAAGTTACTTCCTCTCTCTCTCTTTTCTCTCTCTCTCCAGCAGAGCAGCGGGAGTTCCGCAGCTCTGTGGCCGCCTCAGAACGCTCCTCACCCGGACAGCTCCGGCAGGAGGCCCCGCTGCCTGGAGGACCGGAGACAAGATCGCAAGCCGGAACACACAGACCTTTACGGACGTGAGACAGGCAGACAGACGGACAAACACCCGCCATGATGCTACCCAGCTGTCTGTCTGCCTCTAATTTGAACATTATTGTAATTAACGGAGCTCCTGTCTGTCTGCCTCTCCGTCCGTCTGTTTGTCCGCCGGTCGCTTCCGCAAACCCAGCCCAGCTCGGCACGGCACCGGCCTGGTCCCCCCCCCCACCCCTCTCTACTCCCCTCCGCGGCTGTCTGTCCCCGTCTGTCCCGGTCCGTCCCGGGTAAAGCGCTCATCTACCCGATGGAGTGTGTAGGGGGGAGGAAAAGGAGAGAATAAGGAGAGAAAAGAGAGAAAAGAAGCGGTACTCACAATCATCCACCCGTCCGCTCCGCTGCTCTCTCTCTCTCTCTCTCTCCCACTCTGTGTCTATGTCGCTCGACCAGAGCCGCTCCCTCCTGCTGCCGCTGCGCGCTGACGTCAAGCTCGACGCGGCGAACAAAGGAACGCTTCCTGCGCGTTATTTCAAAATAAAACACCCCCCCGGTGAACGACAGGGAGTGGAAACTGTGAAGTTATTAAATGTGTTAAAATCATTAGTTCACTGGACAGGTGAGAATGAATGCTGTGATATGTGGTTGAAAGATCTGGAAAAAGCTAGTAAGTGAACCTTTGAGTTAAGATTTTATTGTTAACTGTAAAATCCAACACAATCGACAAATAAAAGGATATTATATATATATAAACATTTATTGCAACAAAAAGTCTATAATAAGTCATAATATCTGATTAAATTAAAATTAAAAATGAATTTGTGATAAACAGCTTTTAGAATAGTTTAAGTGTTTCATGATCATTTGTGAGCACAAAGCAAAAGTTACATATAAATATTTACATATATATACAATAGTAAAAATGTTAAACATTGGTGGTAAAGTGAATTTTTTTATTAATAGCAGAAACTGACAATCATTTAAAAGATAATCATCTATTTTTTCAAAATAAAGGCCTTATATTATTAGTGTATAAATGTTATTAATGAATGAGTAAAAAAATAATTAATTAAAAATAAGTTATTAATAGACAAAACAAAACAAACCTGCTGATTTCCCCTCATTGTGTTAAAAATAAAAGCCTCTCTAATAGAAATTTAAAGCACTTTAGCCAAAAACTTAATAAAATAAACTTTAATAAACTTTAAAAAAGTTAAAAACCGTGAGACTGTTTTTATTTTATTTCTATTATTCTATTTTTATTCTTTTAAAGTAGCATAATTAGAACTAACTTAGGTTGTAAATGACAAAAACAGTAATTAAACTGTTTATCTCTCTACACTCAAATAAAGATAAAATATCGCGGTCTTTTATTTTGAATGTAGTCCACACCGACTTCCGGGTTTGCGCGTCACACTTTGGCTCGCGCTCCGCTTTTTTTTTTTTTTTTTTTTTTTTCTCGTGACGTTTCAGCCTCGCTCTCAGCTGCTTCCCGCTTCCTGCAGAAGAAGAAACGCCACAGATTTTTATTTACTGGGATCAAACTGCCTTGCTCAGCGGTTCCGAGTCACACAGAAATAACATTAAAATAAATATTTTACTGTAATATTTTAATATAATGACATTTTTAAACATATTAGTCACATTATTAAATGTTTACATCTGTTCTGGGGGATCTGATGGTCCCACAATGTAATGATTTTAACTATTTTAAAGAAACTTAAAGCTTATAAATGAGATTTAAAGCATGAATATAACATTATATTATAAACAGAGTCACATGGTGTCTCTCTCCCTCTGCCTGTGTTGTATCGCAGCCTCTCTGTGGTTTGTTTCCATAGCCGGTCTGCTCCGACTGAAACTGCTGTTTTTATCATCTACGTCGGTGAATTAAGGATTTATTTCCACCAAACCAGAGTTGGTGATTGTTGGAAACACTAACAGAGACGCTTTTAATGAGTTTTATTCTGTTTCTGTCCACTTTAATGAAGTTACGATGATCTGAAGGTAAAATCAGTGTTTGTGTCTCTGGAGTCTGGTGGAGAGTGATAGTGATATTACGGCTGTTTGTGGTTAAACTAAAGGTCTATCTCTGTAGGGATCCTTTCCATAATGCTGTCAGACACTGACAATAACAACCTGAGTCTGTCAGTGGCAGAAACAAGAACTTTTAGTGGTCAGGCGCATTGACCTGAAGGATTATCCTACCTTGCGGCCGCTGTTACAGCCACTAAAATTACTGTTTTTGTTAATGGAGTCTGGTTGGTTTTGGTCGGAGACGCTCAACAACTTGTGGCAGTAAATTTCTTATAAACAACCTTTAAATAAACGCTGAGTCAAACCCCACATCTCTCATGAGGCCCCTCACAATGTGTGTTTGTTGCTGATGATGTCATGTGACATCGCTATGAGGTCAAAGGTCAAAGCCACTCATGAGGTCGCTTATAAACGCAGGACATCAAAATTAGAGTGTGTGTGTGTGTGTGTGTGTGTTACTGTAGAGGCAGAGAGCAACTGAGCATGTCAGAGCGTGTTGATGGGAACACGCCTCAGGACACACACACACACACACACACACACACACCCAGCGGTGTTTACTACAGTCGGAGATGCAGTGCTGTGAAGCCACACCCAAACAGGAAGGAGTCACCAAGAATAGAGTCACCCCTCCACCCAACCAGCTTCCCTTTCACTGACACACACTTCCTCTGTGTGTGTATGTTCTCCAATCAAAAGTTCTGCTATTGTAAAAGTACTTCTGCTGAGTAACACTGCGCAGGAGAAAGTGGTAACTTACAACATTAACCTGCGTAGGCAACCGTCCTGGAGGAAGTTACATAAACTAAAACAGCTGCCAACAACAAGATGGTGCTCGTTATGTCTCAAAGTCTGAGGAAGTGGAGGAGGGTTTAAAATATGGACTTTGTAGAGTTTCCAGGTCTGCGAAGTGTCTTAAACCTGCAGTCTCTGTAACAGCCAGCAGGGGGCGGCGGCGTTACCATTCAGTCTTATGGAGAAACGAGTCGACTTCTCAGTTGATTTATTCCCTCAGTAAACAGTTTCCTGATGAGTTTCTGGTCTCAGTCTCTAGTTTCAAGTCTTCTTCCATACAGCATGATGTTCATTTAGTAACTGATGGTCCCATTTAGAGTAAAACAGACCATAAAGCAGGGTATGCTTTAGGGCGGGGCTACCTTGTGATTGACAGCTCATTCTCAGTGAGTCCGTCCAGCTCAACGCACCAAACTCAGATCAAACTGTCAAACAGTGCTGATCAGATATGGATCCAGATTCTGTTGTTGACTGTTTCTCTCCTCCAATCTGTTCACAAACACATTTTACTGTTAATCTGGAATACCAGATCGTTTGTGAGCAGGCGAGTAGAAACTGTGCAGCCAATGAGAGCAGCTCAACTCGCAGTCGTCAC